TGTCGCATGTTTCAGGTGTTTGTCGCATGTTTCAGGTGTTTGCCTCATGGTTCAGGTGTTTGCCTCATGGTTCAGGTGTTTGCCTCATGGCTCAGGTGTTTGCCTCATGGTTCAGGTGTTTGTCTCATGTTTCAGGTGTTTGTCTCATGTTTCAGGTGTTTGCCTCATGGTTCAGGTGTTTGCCTCATGGTTCAGATGTTTGCCTCATGGTTCAGATGTTTGCCTCATGTTTCAGGTGTTTGTCTCATGTTTCAGGTGTTTGTCTCATGTTTCAGGTGTTTGTCTCATATTTCAGGTGTTTGCCTCATGTTTCAGGTGTTTGCCTCATGGTTCAGATGTTTACCTCATGTTTCAGGTGTTTGCCTCATGGTTCAGGTGTGTGTCTCCTCACTGTTACCTTCTTGTCTTGGGGAAGCGACCCGGGCCCTGCCGGTGAGCGAGGGATGCTCTCCTCTTACTTGGTAACACTCAACTTCACCCTTAGTTACACCCTTAACTACACCCTTAACAGCACCCTTAACAGTACCCTTAACTACACCGTCAACTACACTCTTAGCTACACCATAAACTACATCATTAACTACACTCTTAAGTTCAGCTTTAACAACGCCCTCAACTTTATCCTTAACTACACCCATTACTTAACCCTAAACACCACCCTAGACTACACTTCTAATTACACCTTTAACTGCACCATTAACTACACCCCTCTTATAACTACTCTCTTAACCACCCAATTATCTACACACTTGTCTATACCCTTACATACACTGGTAACTACACCCATACCTGGAACACACCTTGTTACGGACCCGAGTCCAGCGTCGGAGCACGGACCCGTGACGACAACGCCATCTGTGTGTCCGCTCCCGAAACCCACTCCAAATGGACGACGCCATCTAGTGATGACGAGAGACGCCGGCAATACGTGCTGGATTCCCGTCTTAATTGACTGGTGGAGTAGCCGCTGCTGACCTCTGGTGAGGTGGCGCTTAGACAGCAACGCCACCTATGGAGTGAAGAGGTGGACGTTTGTGTCTAAGCCTGTAAGTGAGGTTCCCTAGAGCGTCCCAGTATTAATGACGTATCTGATTGCAGAGTCGACCTGGGACTGCTGTGTTGGACGATGAACCAGTCTACCCAAGGCAGCCAAGGTCTCTTCTCCAATCTGCTTTGAAGAAGCTGTGAGTCACCCCCGGACGAACTCTGTTGAGAGTATTAGCCTGCCTATGGTGTGGCAGTGTCGGGAATCGCCTTATCCGGGGCTGGCTGGTGGAAGAGACTAGCCACTGTGGTGCTTAGTGAGGAGAGTGATCAGCGGGATCACACGAGGCTCCTGCCTAGGGCTCGCAATCCTAGTATCGGTCGTGGAGTGGCCTACACAGCGGAGCTGATCAGTACCTGCTAGTTACAGGCTGGATTGTGGTTGAAGGCCTCCATGACGAAGCACCCAGTGGGACTGTGATTTGGCTGGCCTGTGGCCAGGGTAGATTCGTCATAGAGTCATAGTGGATTCATCGTGGGCCACGGAAGAAGGAACCAGGGCTACCCAGAGTGAACACCGTTGAGCATCCAGTGTCTTTGGAGGAAGACGAACCTGTATATAATTGTGTAGTTATAATCCCTGTGTGTGACTGTTCTTTATTTATTCATGGTGGTGGAAATATATATCAGAAAAACTGAAACATTTGTATCCCTCCCCCTGTAATTTAACTTGCGTTATGGAACACACCCCTTGAAAGCCTCTACTAACTTGGGGCCGGATTCCCAAACTCTACTATCATCGGAGAAGAACCCGGTTGCGTCCCAGTAGGGCCGTAACACACCTGGAGAGTGTTTCTGGAGTCCTTCTACTCCCCGAGCCCGGCCCGAGGCCAGGCTTGACTTGTGATAACTTGGTCCACCAGGCTGTTGCTTGGAGCGGCCCGCAGACCCACATATCCACTGCAGCCTGGTTGGTCCGCCACTTCATTCCAGGAAATATTTCTAATGCTTGTTGAACAGCTGTGGACCTCTGATGCTCAGACAGTGTTCTCTGATTATGACTATGGCACCTCTACTCCTCAATGGTTCTATTCTGCATTTCCTTCCTTACCTTTCACTCCAGTATGTTGTTATTCTACTGTGTAAATGTGTGACCTGTCCTAGTATCTTCCATGTATATATTATTTGATACCTTTCTCGTCTCCTTTCCAAAGGGTACATTTTGAGAGCTTTGAGACGGCCCCAATAATTCAGATGTTTTATCGTGTCTATGCGTGCCGAATATGTTCTCTGTATTCCTACTAATTCAGAGCTCTCTCTCACTCTGAAATGGGAAGTGAGTACTGAGCATGACTCAAGACGGGACAGCACCAGTGGTTTAAATAGTATTAGCACTGTTGTGGGGATCTTTGGATTTAAACGTTCATCCATCATTTTCCTGGCCGCCGCCGCTATATTTGCTCGGTTATGTTCACTAAATGTCAGGTCGTCAGACATCATAATTCCCTGTTCCTTTACATATTACTTTCCTTCTATGAGTAGGTCTGATTGTGTCCTCTACCCTGTTGTTTCGTTACGTTCCTCGTGTCCACCATACCACAGTACCTGGAACTTGTCACCGTTAAACATCATGTTTTTTATGTTGCCCAATCGAATACCTTATTTATATCTGTCTTCACTTTTTCAGTGTCTTCTACAGTTGCAATTTTCATGCTGATTTTTGTATTATCTTCAAAGGATGACACGAAGCTGTGACTAGTATTTTTGTCTATATCAGAGATATGAATTAGAAATAGCAGCGATGCAATGTTCCCAGGCGGTCACCCATCCAAGAACTAACCAAACCCAACGTTGCTTAACTTCGCTGATCGGACAAGAAACGGTGTTCTCAACGTCAAGGGCTGTGCCCTGGGGTACGTAGCTTTTCACTGCACTTAGGCTTGATTTTACCTGATTTACCGTCACTCTCTGCATCTGTTTGACAGAAAGTTAAAAATCTAACGCCCCACTTTACCCGTTATTCCTATTGATCTCATTTTATGGGCTATCACCCCAAGGTCACATTTGTCGAATGTCTTTGCAAAGTCTGTGTATACAACATTTGGATTTTGCTGTACCTCTAAAGCTTCTATGAATCTGTCATAGCGGTTGAGTAACTATGACAGACAGGATCTTCCCGCTCTAAATCCATGTTGTCCTGGGTTGTGAAGTTCATTATTTTCCTTAAAACGTTAAATTTGATTCCTAATCACTTTTTCAAAAACTTGCATTATGTGTGATGGTAGTGTAACTGGTCATTTTTTTTGCCAAGGCTTTACTCCCCCCCCCCCTCCTTGTGCAGAGGAGCTATATCTGCTGATGTAAGTGCAGCTGGTATCTCCCCTGTATCTAGGCTCTTTCTCCATATTACGCTGAGTGCTCTCGCTACCGGTACTTTACATTTCTTTATGAATATTGAATTCCATGAGTCAGGCCCAGGAGCTGAGTGCATAGGCATATTGTCAATTTCTCTTTCAAAGTCTTCCGAGTTTGTGGTAATATCCGTTATATTATCTGCAGCTTGAATGTCATTCATAAAGAAGCTGTCTGGGTCATCAACTTCCATGTTGTTTATTGGTGTGCTAAACATAGCCTCATACTGACTTCTTAGAATTTCATTAATTTCTTTGTTGTTTTCTGTGTATTTACCTTCAAGTGTAAATAAAGGTCCAATACTTTTGTTTTTTATATATTTTGATTCTGCATATACGAAAAAATATTTTGAATTTTTCTTTATTTCTTGTTTAGCTTTCTGTTCCAATTCCATTTCCTCAGACTCGTATGGTCGCTTCAGCGTCTACTCTATTTATTTGATGTCCCTGTTTAGGCTTGTTTTCCTTGCTTGTGTTAGTTGTGTCTGCCGAAGCATTTCCGTTATTTTTTTCCTTCTCCTGTACAGTGGTCTGCGTTCTCTTTCTAGAGTGGTCCTCTTTCTGCCCCTCCTCACAGGTACGTGCTTCAAGCAGACCTTGTAAGCTTCAGCTGTCAGTTGAGCTATTCCCTGTGTGGGAGTTTTGTCGCTTAAGACCGTCTCCCATTGAATGGTTGCAAGGTCAACATTTATTTTTTCCCAGTCAATCCTCTTATTGTTGAAATTGAATTGATTGAATATTCCTTCTCGCTTGATGGGTCTCTTAGCAACCTGTCCTCTTAAAAAGAACGTCGCTTTTGGCCGTTTGCCCGTATGGCCGAATTTGGACGTAATTTGAAATTGAAAAAAATATGAAAATAAATTTGGGATTTTTTTTTTCAACAACAGTAAGTTAAGGGTCCTCTGATAGGTTAGGTGGGCAGGAAATTCTCATAAAGTTTCAAAACGTTATGAAAAACGTTAATTTAAAGTGTCCTCTTATAACCTCTGCGCGTAGGCCGGACGGCTCAAATAGAAAACGGAACAGAACGTCACTTTTGTGAGTGGATTTCATTTCAAATTACGTCCAAATTTAGCCATATCGCGCATACGAGCCAAAAGTGACGTTCTTTTTAAGAGGACGGGTTGCTCTTAGACCTACTACCGTTATTTATGCTAGTTCGCACTTCAATGAGCTTATGGTCTGAGTATGAAGTATCTGAGATTGTAATGTCTCTGATTAGTTCATCATTGTTTGTGAATAACAAGTCTAGTGTGTTTTCGTTCCTAGTTGGTTCTGTAATCTGTTGATTGAGCAAGAATTTGTCACAGAGTCTGTGGTTCTCTGACCTGTGGTTGGTTATTTCCAGGTTATTTCCTGCTATAATGTTATTGTTTACTAGTCTTAGTTTTAATCTGGGTAGAGTGAAGTCTCAGAGGAAGGTAATAAAATCCTTTACTACATCCTTAACAACTCCCTTAACTACATCATAAATTACACCCTTAACTGTACTCATAACTCCACCTCTAACTCCACCATTAACTCCACCTCTAACTCCACCATTAACTCCACCTCTAACTACACCATTAACTACACCATTAACTCCACCATTAACTCCACCATTAACTACACCATTAACTCCACCTCTAACTCCACCATTAACTCCACCATTAACTCCACCCCTAACTCCACCATTAACTCCACCTCTAACTCCACCATTAACTCCACCATTAACTCCACCATTAACTCCACCATTAACTCCACCATTAACTCCACCATTAACTCCACCTCTAACTCCACCATTAACTCCACCATTAACTCCACCTCTAACTCCACCATTAACTCCACCATTAACTCCACCTTTAACTCCACCATTAACTCCACCATTAACTCCACCATTAACTCCACCATTAACTCCACCATTAACTCCACCATTAACTCCACCATTAACTCCACCTCTAACTCCACCTCTAACTCCACCATTAACTCCACCATTAACTCCACCATTAACTCAACCATTAACTCCACCATTAACTCCACCATTAACTCCACCATTAACTCCACCTCTAACTCCACCATTAACTCCACCATTAACTCCACCATTAACTCCACCATAAACTCCACCATTAGCTCCACCATTAACTCCACCATTAACTCCACCATTAACTCCACCATTAACTTCACCTCTAACTCCACCATTAACTCCACCATTAACTCCACCTCTGACTCCACCATTAACTCCACCATTAACTCCACCATTAACTCCACCTCTGACTCCACCATTAACTCCACCATTAACTCCACCATTAACTTCACCTCTAACTCCACCATTAACTCCACCATTAACTCCACCATTAACTCCACCATTAACTCCACCATTAACTCCACCTCTAACTCCACCTCTAACTCCACCATTAACTCCACCATTAACTCCACCATTAACTCCACCATTAACTCCACCATTAACTCCACCTCTAACTCCACCTCTAACTCCACCATTAACTCCACCATTAACTCCACCATTAACTCCACCATTAACTCCACCATAAACTCCACCATTAACTCCACCATTAACTCCACCATTAACTCCACCATTAACTTCACCTCTAACTCCACCATTAACTCCACCATTAACTCCACCTCTGACTCCACCATTAACTCCACCATTAACTCCACCATTAACTCCACCTCTGACTCCACCATTAACTCCACCATTAAATCCACCATTAACTTCACCTCTAACTCCACCATTAACTCCACCATTAACTCCACCATTAACTCCACCATTAACTCCACCATTAACTCCATCATTAACTCCACCTCTGACTCCACCATTAACTCCACCATTAACTCCACCTCTAACTACACCATTAACTCCACCTCTGACTCCACCATTAACTCCACCATTAACTCCACCTCTAACTCGACCATTAACTCGACCATTAACTCCACCTCTAACTCCACCATTAACTCCACCATTAACTCCACTATTAACTCCACCATTAACTCCACCATTAACTCCACCTCTAACTCCACCATTAACTCCACCTCTAACTCCAACATTAACTCCACCTCTAACTCCACCATTAACTCCACCTCTAACTCCACCATTAACTTCACCTCTAACTCCACCATTAACTCCACCTCTAACTCCACCATTAACTTCACCATTAACTAAACCATTAACTCCACCTCTAACTCCACCATTAACTTCACCTCTAACTACACCATTAACTTCATCATTAACTACACCATTAACTTCACCTCTAACTACACCATTAACTTCACCTCTAACTACACCATTAACTCCACCTCTAACTACACCATTAACTTCATCATTAACTACACCATTAACTTCACCTCTAACTACACCATTAACTCCACCTCTAACTCCACCATTAACTCCACCTCTAACTACACCATTAACTCCACCATTAACTTCACCTCTAACTACACCATTAACTCCACCTCTAACTCCACCATTAACTTCACCATTAACTCCACCATTAACTTCACCTCTAACTACACCATTAACTTCACCATTAACTCCACCATTAACTTCACCTCTAACTACACCATTAACTTCATCATTAACTACACCATTAACTTCACCTCTAACTACACCATTAACTTCATCATTAACTACACCATTAACTTCACCTCTAACTACACCATTAACTTCACCTCTAACTACACCATTAACTCCACCTCTAACTCCACCATTAACTCCACCTCTAACTACACCATTAACTACACCATTAACTTCAACATTAACTACACCATTAACTTCACCTCTAACTCCACCATTAACTCCACCTCTAACTACACCATTAACTACACCATTAACTTCAACATTAACTCCACCATTAACTCCACCTCTAACTCCACCATTAACTTCACCATTAACTACACCATTAACTTCACCATTAACTACATCATTAACTTCACCTCTAACTACACCATTAACTTCACCATTAACTACACCATTAACTTCACCTCTAACTACACCATTAACTCCACCTCTAACTCCACCATTAACTCCACCTCTAACTCCACCATTAACTTCACCTCTAACTCCACCATTAACTTCACCATTAACTACACCATTAACTTCACCATTAACTACACCATTAACTTCACCATTAACTACATCATTAACTTCACCTCTAACTACACCATTAACTTCACCATTAACTACACTATTAACTTCACCTCTAACTACACCATTAACTTCACCTCTAACTACACCATTAACTTCACCATTAACTCCACCATTAACTTCACCTCTAACTACACCATTAACTTCACCATTAACTCCACCATTAACTTCACCTCTAACTACACCATTAACTTCATCATTAACTACACCATTAACTTCACCTCTAACTACACCATTAACTTCACCTCTAACTACACCATTAACTCCACCTCTAACTACACCATTAACTTCATCATTAACTACACCATTAACTTCACCTCTAACTACACCATTAACTCCACCTCTAACTCCACCATTAACTCCACCTCTAACTACACCATTAACTCCACCATTAACTTCACCTCTAACTACACCATTAACTCCACCATTAACTTCACCATTAACTCCACCATTAACTTCACCTCTAACTACACCATTAACTTCACCATTAACTCCACCATTAACTTCACCTCTAACTACACCATTAACTTCATCATTAACTACACCATTAACTTCACCTCTAACTACACCATTAACTTCATCATTAACTACACCATTAACTTCACCTCTAACTACACCATTAACTTCACCTCTAACTACACCATAAACTCCACCTCTAACTACACCATTAACTTCATCATTAACTACACCATTAACTTCACCTCTAACTACACCAATAACTTCACCATTAACTCCACCATTAACTTCACCTCTAACTACACCATTAACTTCATCATTAACTACACCATTAACTTCACCTCTAACTACACCATTAACTTCACCATTAACTCCACCATTAACTTCACCTCTAACTACACCATTAACTTCATCATTAACTACACCATTAACTCCACCTCTAGCTACACCATTAACTTCATCATTAACTCCACCATTAACTCCACCATTAACTCCACCATTAACTCCACCATTAACTTCATCATTAACTACACCATTAACTCCACCATTAACTACACCATTAACTTCACCTCTAACTACACCATTAACTTCATCATTAACTACACCATTAACTCCACCTCTAGCTACACCATTAACTTCATCATTAACTCCACCATTAACTTCATCATTAACTTCACCATTAACTCCACCATTAACTCCACCATTAACTCCACCTCTAACCACCCCCTTAACTCCACCATTAACTCCCCCCCCCCCAGCACTGCCAGCACCACACAGCGATGCTCTACAAGAACAACGTGGACACAAGCACCAACTTGGGGAAAATGATGCGGAGGGCAACATGACAAACACTTACGAAACAGCTGCATCACAGGGACCATTATTTCCACGTCCGACAGCATGCTGCGAGCACCAACAGTCTGGGTGACCAGAAAGTGAACTAGGAGACTGTTCCATGACCAGGGGCCAGATTCACCGAGCACTTACTCAAGCACTAACGGACCTCTACATCTTTTCTCAATCTTTGGCGAGTTTGTTTACGTTTAGTAAAGTGTATGAGCTCAAGAGGGCTCTTGGAGGCGTGGGGTCCCAGCCGTGGGGTCCCAGGCGTCGGGGGTCATCTTAGGTCTACACGACTGACCTAGGCGTGGGGTCCCAGGCGTCGGGGGTCATCTTAGGTCTACAAGACTGACCTAGGCGTGGGGTCCCAGGCGTCGGGGGTCATCTTAGGTCTACAAGACTGACCTAGGCGTGGGGTCCCAGGCGTCGGGGGTCATCTTAGGTCTACACGACTGACCTAGGCGTGGGGTCCCAGGCGTCGGGGGTCATCTTAGGTCTACAAGACTGACCTAGGCGTGGGGTCCCAGCCGTCGGGGGTCATCTTAGGTCTACAAGACTGACCTAGGCGTGGGGTCCCAGCCGTCGGGGGTCATCTTAGGTCTACAAGACTGACCTAGGCGTGGGGACCCAGGCGTCGGGGGTCATCTTAGGTCTACAAGACTGACCTAGGCGTGGGGACCCAGCCGTCGGGGGTCATCTTAGGTCTACACGACTGACCTAGGCGTGGGGTCCCAGGCGTCGGGGGTCATCTTAGGTCTACAAGACTGACCTAGGCGTGGGGACCCAGGCGTCGGGGGTCATCTTAGGTCTACAAGACTGACCTAGGCGTGGGGACCCGGGCGTCGGGGGTCATCTTAGGTCTACAAGACTGACCTAGGCGTGGGTACCCAGGCGTCGGGGGTCATCTTAGGTCTACAAGACTGACCTAGGCGTGGGGACCCAGCCGTCGGGGGTCATCTTAGGTCTACAAGACTGACCTAGGCGTGGGGACCCAGCCGTCGGGGGTCATCTTAGGTCTACACGACTGACCTAGGCGTGGGGTCCCAGCCGTCGGGGGTCATCTTAGGTCTACAAGACTGACCTAGGCGTGGGGACCCAGCCGTCGGGGGTCATCTTAGGTCTACAAGACTGACCTAGGCGTGGGGACCCAGGCGTCGGGGGTCATCTTAGGTCTACAAGACTGACCTAGGCGTGGGGACCCAGGCGTCGGGGGTCATCTTAGGTCTACAAGACTGACCTAGGCGTGGGGACCCGGGCGTCGGGGGTCATCTTAGGTCTACAAGACTGACCTAGGCGTGGGGACCCAGCCGTCGGGGTCATCTTAGGTCTACAAGACTGACCTAGGCGTGGGGTCCCAGCCGTCGGGGGTCATCTTAGGTCTACAAGACTGACCTAGGCGTGGGGTCCCAGCCGTCGGGGGTCATCTTAGGTCTACAAGACTGACCTAGGCGTGGGGTCCCAGCCGTCGTGGGTCATCTTAGGTCTACAAGACTGACCTAGGCGTGGGGTCCCAGCCGTCGTGGGTCATCTTAGGTCTACAAGACTGACCTAGGCGTGGGGTCCCAGCCGTCGGGGGTCATCTTAGGTCTACAAGACTGACCTAGGCGTGGGGTCCCAGCCGTCGTGGGTCATCGTAGGTCTACAAGACTGACCTAGGCGTGGGGTCCCAGCCGTCGGGGGTCATCTTAGGTCTACAAGACTGACCTAGGCGTGGGGTCCCAGCCGTCGTGGGTCATCTTAGGTCTACAAGACTGACCTAGGCGTGGGGTCCCAGCCGTCGGGGGTCATCTTAGGTCTACAAGACTGACCTAGGCGTGGGGTCCCAGCCGTCGTGGGTCATCGTAGGTCTACAAGACTGACCTAGGCGTGGGGTCCCAGCCGTCGGGGGTCATCTTAGGTCTACAAGACTGACCTAGGCGTGGGGTCCCAGCCGTCGGGGGTCATCTTAGGTCTACAAGACTGACCTAGGCGAGGGGACCCAGCCGTCGGGGGTCATCTTAGGTCTACAAGACTGACCTAGGCGTGGGGACCCAGGCGTCGGGGGTCATCTTAGGTCTACAAGACTGACCTAGGCGTGGGGACCCAGCCGTCGGGGGTCATCTTAGGTCTACAAGACTGACCTAGGCGTGGGGTCCCAGCCGTCGGGGGTCATCTTAGGTCTACAAGACTGACCTAGGCGAGGGGACCCAGCCGTCGGGGGTCATCTTAGGTCTACAAGACTGACCTAGGCGAGGGGACCCAGCCGTCGGGGGTCATCTTAGGTCTACAAGACTGACCTAGGCGTGGGGTCCCAGCCGTCGGGGGTCATCTTAGGTCTACAAGACTGACCTAGGCGAGGGGACCCAGCCGTCGGGGGTCATCTTAGGTCTACAAGACTGACCTAGGCGAGGGGACCCAGCCGTCGTAGACACTTGCGGTACAGTTAACAACTCTAGTTGTTTGGAGTGAACCAGCCTGATAATTCAGGTCACTTGTTGGTAACCAATTTCAGCTGAGCATCAATGAGGCGGTGACTGAGAGCACCGTCAGCTGTGTCACAACACACGAGGTCAATATATACACACAGCACACAGACGAGGGCAATATATACACACAGCATACAGACGAGGGCAATATATACATACACAGCACACAGACGAGGTCAATATACACACACAGCACACAGACGAGGTCAATATACACACACAGCACACAGACGAGGTCAATATATACACACACAGCACACAGACGAGGTCAATATAAACACACACAGCACACAGACGAGGTCAATATATACACACACAGCACACAGGCGAGGTCAATATATAAACACACAGCACACAGTCGAGGTCAATATACACACACAGCACACAGACGAGGGCAATATACACACACAGCACACAGGCGAGGTCAATATATAAACACACAGCACACAGTCGAGGTCAATATACATACACAGCACACAGGCGAGGGCAATATATACATACACAGCACACAGACGAGGTCAATATAAACAGGAGGGTGTAATCACCGTCCAAGTGGAGCCCCATCAATGTGAAGGTTCATACAACAGCAGCTGGAGTGAAACATTAATTAAGGTCATATCTGGTAAAATGGTGTCTGTCTGTCGCTTTATTATCAACACGGAGGTCTGACCGTTGGGGTTTTATTGTCTGCTGTGAAATATGGTGTGATTTGTGCTTTATTGGCAGTGTCAGTACTGGTAATGGCGAGTTTAATTGGTAATTCATTACAGTCCAGGTTGATTAATTTATAAATGTTGCAGGTGTTTGTTTTGGAGCAATAGTTTGTCAGTTGTTGTCGTGGGAGTTCTTAGTTCCACGTTGGTCTTCTGGAGCTGTTGGCGACCTGTAATTACCTCATAACGATATCATGTCAACAACATCATCAAAACTGAATTGATCAGAGACACAGTAATTTACACTTAAGATATTCCACCTATCGTCACCCTATCATGTAAGAAGAGCCTCATGTCTTAGGTCACACTACCACCCAAGAAGAGCCTCATGTCTTAGATCACACTACCACCCAAGAAGAGCCTCATGTCTTAGTTCACACTACCACCCAAGAAGAGTCTCATGTCTTAGATCACACTACCACCCAAGAAGAGCCTCATGTCTTAGATCACACTACCACCCAAGAAGAGCCTCATGTCTTAGATCACACTACCACCCAAGAAGAGCCTCATGTCTTAGATCACACTACCACCCAAGAAGAGCCTCATGTCTTAGGTCACACTACCACCCAAGAAGAGTCTCATGTCTTAGTTCACACTACCACCCAAGAAGAGCCTCATGTCTTAGATCACACTACCACCCAAGAAGAGCCTCATGTCTATTCGTCACGAGTCTAGGTAGCCCTGCAAGGCTCCCTCCTGTATCAGAGCTGTTCCCGTCCAAAATCCATCATTTTCGGATGGCTTGGCCAAACGTGCCCATCAAAACCACAAGTTGACATCGAATGCGAATTCACAATGAAACAAATAAGAAGCAAAATCAGAAATATTCAGGCACAGGCGGGAGTGGAGAGGAGACGTATAATGTATGAGGGAAGTCAAACCATGCAACACTACATGTATGAGAGTCAAAACACCCATTTCACTTATGGTAAAAGGAGAAATGCTTGGAGTGACTCTGTGTACATGCGGCTCAGGCTTGGGTACAAATATTACTGGGAATATGGGATAGGTGTTAGTGATAATGACACGAGGTGTAAACTATGTGGTATGTTAAGGTCTCACACCCTTGCCCATTATGTTCTTGATTGTCCGTTGATTAATGTATATAGAAACACTGAGATAAGGACTGTTCCTGAACAAATAGCCTGGATGTGTCACAACGGAAAGGTTGATGATATTCTTGAGAGAGATAAGAATTTTGAACCAAGACTGTAATATTTTGTTGAATTATCTGCATGTCTTGCAAATTGTCTATACAGAATACCTAGATCATAAAAGTATTTGTGTGTATGTCTGATACCATACTACTTGTGTAAAGGAGGAAATGTATATGTTTATCTCTCAGAATGTTCGGTAATATGTTTATTGTTTGTGATGTGTGTATATGTATGTATTAACACGGTGTACTGAACGGGGTGAGAATAGCATGAGCTACCTCATCCCTTTGTGTGTATTTTACCTTAATAAACTTATTTCAATTTAAATTTCCATCATTTTGGATGTATTCGTTCCTACTCGTATGTTTTAATCAGACGGAATTAGGTAGGTTAAGTATGAATGTTTATTGTGACATTAAGGAGGTAAATATGTGGTGAAGAGGCCTCAAGGAGGCTAGGAGGCTCATTTTCGTCAAGATGGGAGAATCCCATTATGGGTTCTAGGAGCTATAGGCTCCAGTTGTCATGGTAACTGAGAGGCGCTCCCTGTAGTAACCAATCAGCGCGAAGGAAGACGATGACGTCACGCAAGGAAAGAGCAGAGATTGGCCCCAGGCAGGTCAGTTTATGCCTGAGAGTCACTGAGGTCGGACGTCTGCGAACTGTCGCTCCGTCATTGTTGGACAGACATTCTCAACTTCTGCATGTGAGCAGGACACACTAAAGAAGATCTAAGAGATTAATTGAGCATTCCGAGGGAGCAAGAGTGTGTGTGGGGGGGGGGGGGGGCGCGAGGGGAAGTCTATATCACAAGGTTGTGTATACACGTCCCAGGCCTGATAGTAATATTGTGGTAGGCTGTACAGAGAGTCTCAGGGTAACACCAAGAGAACTCCGTGCTGTCACGACCAAGATGGCGACTGAGGTCCGTGAGTCTCTTGCCAGAGGCCACCAGCTGGACACCAGAGATAAGAGGTGATAAAAGAAGTCTAAATTTATATATAACTTGACGAGACGATCCTGTAGACACCCTACAAGCCTATTGTGTATTCCTGTGGACACCCTACAAGCCTATCGTGTATTCCTGTGGACACCCTACAAGCCTATCGTGTATTCCTGTAGACACCCTACAAGCCTATCGTGTATTCCTGTGGACACCCTACAAGCCTATCGTGTATTCCTGTAGACACCCTACAAGCCTATTGTGTATTCCTGTGGACACCCAACAAGCCTATCCGTGTATTCCTGTGGACACCCTACAAGCCTATCCGTGTATTCCTGTGGACACCCTACAAGCCTATTGTGTATTCCTGTGGACACCCTACAAGCCTATCGTGTATTCCTGTAGACACCCTACAAGCCTATTGTGTATTCCTGTGGACACCCTACAAGCCTATCGTGTATTCCTGTGGACACCCTACAAGCCTATCGTGTATTCCTGTAGACACCCTACAAGCCTATCGTGTATTCCTGTGGACACCCTACAAGCCTATCGTGTATTCCTGTAGACACCCTACAAGCCTATTGTGTATTCCTGTGGACACCCTACAAGCCTATCGTGTATTCCTGTGGACACCCTACAAGCCTATTGTGTATTCCTGTGGACACCCTACAAGCCTATCGTGTATTCCTGTAGACACCCTACAAGCCTATTGTGTATTCCTGTGGACACCCTACAAGCCTATCGTGTATTCCTGTGGAGACCCTACAAGCCTATCGTGTATTCCTGTGGACACCCTACAAGCCTATCGTGTATTCCTGTGGACACCCTACAAGCCTATTGTGTATTCCTGTGGACACCCTACAAGCCTATCGTGTATTCCTGTGGACACCCTACAAGCCTATCGTGTATTCCTGTGGACACCCTACAAGCCTATCGTGTATTCCTGTGGACACCCTACAAGCCTATCGTGTATTCCTGTGGACACCCTACAAGCCTATCGTGTATTCCTGTGGACACCCTACAAGCCTATCGTGTATTCCTG